AGATATAAAAATATACCTCTCTCATTAACTGGCAGATCAAGTAGGCAAAAGAAAAAATCAAGGAAACAGAAGATATATAAACAACAAAGTGAACAAGCTGATCTAATGGTCATACATAGAACACTGCACTCAACAGGTGAAGAATGCATATTCTTCATAACCACACCTAGAACACTTATGACAAGTGACCACATACTATGACATGATGCAAGTTTTAATAAATTTCAAAAAACTGATATCAGACTATGAACATTGATCATAATACAATTAAATATAGTTATCTAAACCAGTTATCCAGATAACTAGTATTTACCTAAACTAGATACAAGACAATTTGAAAAAAGTTAGAAATTAACATACTTCTATGATTCATTGCTCAAAGGGGAGATCACAATGAATATTAGAAAACATTCAGAACCAAACAATGAAATTACTATATATGAAAACTGCATGAACGCACAAGTAAGCAGTATTATCAGAGAAAGTTGCATGCTTCTATTAGAAAAGAACTTTAATATGATAAGCTTCCTACTTAACAAGTTACAAAAGGATGAGAACAATAAACCAATGATTGTTAAAAAGAAGAAAACAATAAACATAAAAGCATAAATTGTTAGAATTTTTAAAAACATACATAGGTAAATGACTCTTTAAGAAAGCTAATAGAATTGAAACACTGTCAAGAAAAATCAAGAAAAAAGAGAGCTCAAATAATATTAAGAATGAAAAAGGGTACATAATCACAAATATTTTATATATAATGAGGCAATGAAGGGAAATAATGAATGTCTTTACACCAACACATTTGAAAACATAGATAAAATTGTAGATCTAGGAAAATATAGCTTTTCAAAATTGATTCAAGAAGCAAAGTGGAAACCAGACTTGTCCAACAACCATGGAATAAAATGAATCAGACCTTAAAATCTTCCCATAAGGAAAATGTCATTTCAGGTGGTTTTACTGAAAAGTTCTACCAAACTTTAAAGGAAAAAAATATTTCAATCTTCCATTAGCTCTTCTAGAGTACAGAAAAAGAAGGANTATTTCAGCCACTGACTGGATCATCAGCCATGGAGAGCAACCAAAAGTGAGAGTGTGTCTGTAAAAACAAAATGATATAAAGAACTGTGGCTTATGAAGAGGGGCTGTGATAATCTAGGATTCCTTGCAATATTGTCAAATACCAAACTAAATCCTGTCTGAACCTGTTAGTCTGCAAGGGGGATGGCGCTTGCTCCTTGTAGCAACCCCCCACACACACACACACACACACAGCACAGAGCATGAGTGCAAATGGTTACCCACGTTTGAAAAATGATCCAGAGACAAATTCCTAAACAGTATTTTTGAGAAGAACACACAAATATTATTGGGCTTACTGGGTAATTTCGTGCACCAAGAAACTATACCAGTTAACTCCATCACTTTCAGAAGAAACCAGTCTCTCAATCCAAATAACCAAAACACCAAAAACACACAACATCCTTCCAACGCTGTCCTAACCCTAAGCCACTGCACGGTGCTTGTTGACAGGCCCACATTCCACTCCCAAAGCCAGCCAGCATTCCATCCTACGCCTACTGGAAATTTAATAAATAGACCACGGGGTGTTACAGACTGATGTACAGCGCAGTTCAGGCACAACAGAACAAGCTTAACTGCAAAATGATTTGTACTCTAGACACAGAGACAAAGTCCTGATCCTCACTCCACTTCACATAACATTTACCTTTTCTCTGCTTTAATCCACCTCACTCTTGCTGAAGAGGGAAGGCGCACGGGTGGTAGGATGAAAGATTCAGCCTTGTGCATATTACATATAGTTCCGTTATCCAAGGAGAAGCGAAATTGACAGCGAACGGTACTTCTACCAAACCATCAAAGATTAACACATTAAGGTATACTGTCAAATGGTTTCCCAATATTAATCGTCTGCCAACCAATCAGCCAATCTGTGTACATGTTTTTTTCCAGTGCAACTTTGAACCCCTCCGGATTCTAGCTTTTTGACTGGATGACTATGCCTGAACTCATTCTGCAAACAAAGCTGGCTGCAGAGATTTTGAGAGTGGCAACAGGTCACCAAAAGGGATTTGCAAAGTCCTCTGGCTCAGTGCTCCGTCTTACCAGTGGAGTCAGCCCCAGAAACCGGGCCACTCATATGCTCCTCTGCATTGATGAGCTGCAGGTCTGTGTACGAGGGGCCACAGCTAGGACTACTGGTGTCTTCAGAATGCATGGTCCAGCTGCTCTCGGAGGTCAGGGGGCATCTCCCCACGGAGTTGAAGGAAGGGCACATCCAGCAGGGCATGGTCAATGGTAAGCCTGAGGACAGACCAAAAACCAAAAGCATACAATATAAACAGGTGTGCTTTGTGTACCTTTAGTGCTTGTCTTACTTTGATATTGCTCAGATCCTATGAAATCTCAGTAGCCACACAAGATAAGGAATAGGAAGTATCACTTATGATGCAGACAGGGAAAAGCAATTGTCTGAGGCCCCACTGTGAGTCAGTACAAAAATCAGTATTATAACTAAGATCTCATGACCCTCAAATAAAAAAATTTAAAAAAACTTATTTAAAGAATATGAGTAATTTCAGGTCTACTTTTATTTTTAAACTTAGATTTCACCTTCATTCAAACCCAAACTACATGAGTTTTTCACCCTTACACTTACATTCCCTTCCATTTTTAGTGGCACACCAACAACCTCAAGCAAACTCACCAATTTACACTGTAAAATTAGAGCTAGGTTATGTTAAGAAATAAGAGTACAGGGGCGGCCGGTTAGCTCAGTTGGTTAG